CTTTGAAAATGCAACTCCGTGGGCTTTCTCTTGCTATTTCAGCCGTTTTAAAATTACGCTGCCTAGGCCCCTGATCTAATTTTCCTGCTGCAGAAGTTAAGGCACTTCCCTCCACAGTTACTAAATCTGACAAATTACACCTGGGCCTACTCTAACATGAGAAAGTGTGCTCTTTGTTCCTGACCCCTTGGTCAGCCCAGAGATCAGATTCCTGCACATCGGAAAGCCCCACTCATATTCATTAAAAGCCACGGGAGACCGGCTCTGCGTTGCTGTGGAAGAGGGTACCGAGGTGCAGGCTGCTGCTGAACCCCCAACCGCTCTGCTCAGCGCAATATAGACTCTACTTTTTGTAGCTGGGCTGCTGATCAAGTAGCACCAGGATTTTTCCCTCTAAACAGTACCTTAGTAACAAAAGAGCAGTTGAAATTTAAAAAAAAAAAAAAAAAAAGGAAGGGAGTAGTGAGTGTTTAAATGCCAGGTCCCACGAGTGAGTTTACCAAAACTTGCTTGCACTAAAATGCTGGCTGCACAGATCAGTAACCAAAAATACAAAAAAATTATTCAGAAATGCCACTGTCCCTCTACCCTGGCCAGATGTGTGGTTTGTTACCACAGTGGCTAATTGGACAGGTTAGAGTGTTGTCTCCCCTTTATAACCATACTCAGCCTTTGGAAAAGACATTGCAGAGCTGAGTGATCATAAAGAGGAAATCAGGAAGCATCTTGGCGGCAGAGAATCAACAGGAGGGATACAAGAAACCCACAAGCTTTCCTGTGGGGACAGCAAAGTCCTAGGGAGACCTAGCTGTCTGCAACACAGACTCTCTTCTTCTGTCCCCCAAGGAGGAGGAGAAAAACATAACAGGAGAAGTAAAGAAAAGGTGTGGCTGACCTGCGACGCCCAAAGACGACAGCACATCCAGCCTTTCGTTAAGATTCCTGGAATAACGAGATGGTGAAGGAAAATAGACAGAAGCCACAAGCAGCTGTCAAAAGGCCTCCTGAGGCAGGGGTGTCCCCATGACGGCATCAACTTTCATCCTCCTTCCAGGAGTTCATCTTTCTCCCTGGACAAGGCACCCCACTTACACGTGTTCAGTGTGGGCCAGTGAATTTCCCCAGGCCCAACAAACCATCTCCAAACCGCCTTCCTTGGGGATCTAAGGACACCACAGTGCACTGCAATGTGAAAGCACTGTCCATTATTTTCCACATACATATACCAACTACATGGTAAACCAGGAGATACTGCTTTCATCCTCCCTGATCTTTTGGAAGCTCTCATCACATGTTTATGAGTGGTAGTATTACAAGCTATAAACATGTAATGAATGTGGACTAATGTTCCCTTTCTGTCACATTTTTTAGATGCATGAGTCATAGCTATCTTCTTGGTCAGATGACAATTACTTTTGAGAAACCCATGACAGGATGGAAGTCTTTATTTTATTTATTTATTTATTTATTTATTTATTTATTTATTTATTTTTAAAATATATTTTTATTGATTTTTCACAGAGAGGAAGAGAGAGGGATAGAGAGCTAGAAACATTGATGAGAGAGAATCATCGACCAGCTTGCCTCTTGCACACCCCCTACTGGGGATGTGCCCGCAACCAAGGTACATGCCCTTGACCGGAATCGAACCCGGGACCTTTCAGTCCGCAGACCGACGCTCTACCATTGAGCCAAACCAGTGCCGGCGGGATGGAAATCTTTAGTATCTAGGTCCTTATTTTGATTTCTGTTTTATTGATTAGCACCACTAGCAAATCAACAAATCAGAGAACCTTGTCTCCCAATCAGCAGAGGCTAGAACGCACCCCATCTGACTCCTAGTGCAATAGTCTTCGTATGGAGTGGACTCAGGTATAAAATAGACTGGAAACACCCTATGTCCGTAATAGCTTCTCAAAGGCTTACTGGATGCTAGGAAGACTTCTGCACACTGTTTATGCATTAACTCATCTATCCTCCTAACAACTGCGTGAGGGACATCAGGATGCTATCTCCCACTTCAGAGGTGAGAAAACAGATGCACGAAGATGTTCAGACACGCAACCCAGGTCCCAGAACTGAATAAGTGGGATATCTGTGGAAACCTGCCCTCCCTGCACAGAAATGCTCCTGGAAGCTTCCCTAAGTCAGTGTTCAGATGATCAACAGTCCTGGGAATATTAAGTTTGACAAAATAGCTTCCCAGTAAGATCCAAATTCCTGGCGCCTCCAAAATATAGGATGAGACTGAAATTTCCTTTTCACCAACCTTTGCATTTTTCATCAAAAGACAAAGCAGTAACAATTCCTATAGATTGACACAAATTCTATGTAAAGATCTCCTTTGCTGTAGCGAGGTGCTAGGCAGGAAGTAGTTCAAACTTTCTGAAAACAAAATATGTATAAAACCAACCTCAGGACAACATTTCAGATGGCTAATGGTACCTATTTTCTTGACTTTACCACCTTTTCTAATATTCAAGTAAAACTGCTAAATAATATGAACCCAGTGCAGACATAAACTTTGTCCAAAGTTTGTACCACCAGCAAAAATGAATTACCCACCATCACATCCCATATTTGAATTACTATGTTTTTTTATTTCTTGAGATGCTCCAAAATCTGCCCCAGGATCCAAAAATCACTCCCTCATTCATCACAGTCATAATCTGATTTAGTTAAACCAGACGCTACACAGGTCTATATCTGCACAGAGAGGGGGTAATTTGTTTGCTATCATCACTTCTGCAACTATCAAGCCAGGGATCTTGGAAAGTCCTGCATGTTCAGGAGTAGCCTTCAATCTTCTGTGCCCTTTGAAGATGTTTCTGAAATCATCTGAAGTTATTGAATAAATGGCCAGACTCCACATAGAGCTTCTCTGTCTGTCAGAGGTCATGTCTCAACTACCTGATAGTCAGTAAGAAGCAGCTGAAATGCTCCCCCTCTCTCCTGCTGTTTACCCAGAAATGCTCATATCAACCTCCCATTCTACCCCAAGGTCAGTTTTTAGGTTCCTATTTAACAAGATTCGTTTCTGCTGTTTATTCTCTTTTCCCTTTACTGCTTTCTCACATATAAAGTAATTAATTGACATACATCAAGAAATCTGGGTAAAGCCACTGCAGATAATAACCTCTGATTCCCACACCGTGACCACTGCCACCCCAGCCATTCATGTACCCAACCGTCAGACTCAAATCAGGGGCCTGCCATTTGGTATGTGTGATTCTTGAGCAGTTACTGAACCTTTTTGTGCCCGAGTTTTCTCATCTGCCAAATAAGAATCATAGCAGTGCCTACCTCTTAAAGAAAGGTAAGTGTAAATAGGATGTAAAATACCCTGTTTCCCCGAAAATAAGACAGTGTCTTATATTAATTTTTTTCTCTCAAAGTTGCGCTAGGTCTTATTTTCAGGGGATGTCATCTTTCCATGCGCTAGGTCTTATTTTCGGAGGATGTCTTATTTTGGGGAAAACCCGGTAGTGCCTGGCATGCATAGTAAGGACTCAGTTAAGAGTTCAAAATCATTGCCAGGCTGATTTTAACACGGAAATACTTCCTGTACCCATTCATCAGTCTTTTTGGATGCCAAATAAAATAGAAAATGTCTCAACTTTTTGTGCTATAGAGGACAAACCAAGCTGTTGAATGGGGTGGCCAATCTGAATGTACTCTCTTTGACCTCTTACAGCCTTAACCTGCAACTCCTGGGGCAAGGCTGGAATACTTCTCCAGGTTGCGTGGGTAAACATTAATTCTTCTGCTCTATATACACATGGAACACTTAAATATTACACAAATTATAAAAATCCAAGACCTGTTTGATATGGATCTCCTGAACTGTCCCATTTTAAAGATGAAAAAACTGACTCTGAAGGTTCAAACCAAGCTGTTGAATGGGGTGGCCAATCTGAATGTAAATACTTAGTGGCAGAGCCAAGGCCAGAAAAGTAGTAATTATTATCCTAAGCCAGTGGTTGACAAACTGTGGCCCGCGAGCTACATGTGGCTCTGGAGTATGGCTCTTCCACAAAATACCATGGGTGGGCGCAAATGTACAGTGCGATTGAAACTTCGTGGCCCATGTGCAGAAGTCGGTTTTTGGCTCTCAAAAGAAATTTCAATCATTGTATTGTTGATATTTGGCTCTGTTAACTAATGAGTTTGCCGACCACTAAGCAAACCACCAGGGACTCTGCTAAATCCACTGCAAATGTCACCAGATTTAATCTTCATCCTAACCCTCTAAAGTAGGTATCATTTTCACCCCCTTAGAGATGCAGACACTGGGGCTCAACCTCCATGAATTAGCTTCTTCAAAACCAGACAACAGATGACTGATAGAGCCAAGATCAAAATACTTCTTGACTGGCCCCTAAGTATATGCCCCGCTTCCCGTTTTCTAGATCTCAGTGCTGAGAACTCTAGGACTGAGCTCGCAGCCTGTGATTTCCTAACTGCCACTGCACCAGCTTTTGCAAAATACGGACTCCTGGGCTCCACACATCAAGAGGGAGAATCAGAGTCTCCGTGGGCAGGGCTTCAAAATCTGTATTTCCTCAGAGTCAGTGATTGACGTATTAGTAAGAGTTGAGAAACCCCAATCTAAGCAAGATATTTTATGAGTGCTTCCAGTATCTACTGAGAGGGAAATGAGCGAGTGAAGGCTGATAGAATGTTCGGAGTAGCTGAATCTACATGGAGAGGAACAATGGAGACCTTACCCAAATTTGTCTGTGTCCCACTGAGACACAGGAAGCTCTACCCGTATTGGCCAAGCCCTGCTCCCATCCATCTTGCTTAAAGACATCTGCATCACAATGCAAACAATAAACACAGCCCTCCCCAGCAGTGCCAGACTAAGTGTTCTGTTAGGAAACCAGCAAGAAGGTTTCTTTCCAGCCTCATCCTTTTTGTTTAAAGCACCTAAGTCTGCATGCATCATGCCTTCTTAGCGCTGAGCACATCAGAGGGCAAGACTTCGAATGAACACTTACCAAGGTGCACCATATATCCTGAATCCCTTCACTGTTACCTCCGAGTCTTGTAAGTAAATACTGTTTGTCAGGAGGGACTGAACGTTGTCAAAGTCCTCTGGTTTCAATTTAGACACAGAGGGGAAACGGTAGTAGTCCTGTTTAACGAGGTCTGCCATGAATTCCTTATCGAATGTCAGTTCATGATTCCCAGCAATCACTATTTTATATTCATACGGCAGGTTTCCTGAAAGAAGAAAAAAAAAAAAGAGAGAGCACCAATTAGCACGTTCATTTCCCATCACGAAGTACAACAGCCGAGATTGCGTGATTAGCAGCCGGTATGCCCAAATGAAATAGCTCATACATTCCTTTATATTTCCATGGGAACCAAAATTTATGACTACTCCTTTATGCTAACAAAAATGACAATAAACGGGAAATGGGTAGCTGCTAAGAAGCTGAAAAGCTACTAAGAAGACATTAAGTTTTCTGGTTCCATTTCCCTCTTCTGTATGCTGCAAAGTCACTGTGATGAATCCAGAAAAGAAAAAACAAAACAAAACAAAAAAACACTTTAACACGATCCTTAAAAGAGGTCTGGACTTGGTTTAGTCCTCAGAAAATAAGCAGACCACACTGTAAGGCATGTAGACATAGAACCGCTATGTTTTTGCCTGAAACCAATATAATATCATATGTCAACCATACCTTAATAAAATATATATCAACCAACTATTCTTAACAACTTAGATAACTGCTAGATTTTTAACAGATCCTTCATATAAAAAAAAATGTGGCACAGCCAAGCATTCCACAATTTAAACAAACGAAAGGAACACCATAATACAATTTCATATGTTAAGTTAAAATCTACCTTTGGACTCAGGAATAAAAAGAACATTAATAATGCCTCTCCCTCCCCCATTAGCAGGCTAACTTTCTACCCACCGGGGATGGGAAAAGAAACTGTAAAGCTTAACCCCCTTTTAATATTTATGGGATGGAAATGGGAGTTCTCGGTGTGTGCTTTTTATGCAAAAGTTTCTCGATCGAAATGAGATAATTCTGGGAAGAAGAATGAAAGCTATAAAGGAAAACCCAAACACCAGACTTCTGCATAGATTTATAATATTTGAATAAAGTACAGATCATACATATTAATAACTCGCAGTGATGCTATAAGAACCAAAATCCAAAGGGAGATAGTGTCGGGCAGCTGTCCCCATCCTGAAATTAATGCCCTTTCTATTCGTTTTCATTACCCATGCCTCAAGCCTCACCGCTGGGCTGCTGCTACTCATTTCATTTTATTTCATTTTATTTTGAAAGAAAAAAGGGCGGGACAACGGTGCCTGTAATTCCAGCTTCTTGAGGCTCCGGGGTCCAAGGCAAAATGAATGTTCCCTGCTATTCCAGGAAGAGTCAACGTTCCCACTAGCAGGGCAATGGATCCACTTGTAAAAAACTTGTCCTCACCAGCAAGCCAGAGTCAATGATTTAATTAATGAAGCTTAGTGGGAAAGAGAATGGTACCTTTTTTTTTTGGGGGGGGGGGGGGAGGAGTGCAAATTTTGTCATGAGTCCACGTGGATTGCAATGCAAACTGTTGGGATTACTCTGTGACATCCACAATCCCAGCAGCACACCTCAAACATATCTGCCAATAGTGAAGGGATTTTTAAGATTGCTAAAATATGCTTTGCAATGCTACTAGTTTTTCTTTGGCTTTCATTTTTTAGCCGTCTAACAGTAATAAAATAGCACAAACAGCATGTAGGTTAATGGGGAGGCTAAAGCGAGAGATGAAGGAGTCAGAAAATAAGAGAAAGGTGGAACTGAAAACACAATAGCCAAATGTCAGTGGGTATCCTTGACTACTAGCTCAGGATGCTGTGACATGCCTTTGGCCTCGGCTGTTTGCAAGGTGGACAGCTCGTGGAAAATAGAATGCTTCTCTCAAATGCATGTTTATGAGTTTATAATCCACATTAGCATAATGCAATAAGGAGTGCAATGCATATTGTAAACTACCTGAATACAATGATAGCATTTTGCACAATTCCTTGCAATGAAAATACAGATGAAAGATACCTAACAGGCTGCAAATTCCCAGCACGGGACACGCTGGAAACTTGTGAGATGCCCCACAATTCTAATACCGAGGCTCTGTGACCCCACTGGCCTAACAGACACCCCCAGGTTCACCTGTGTTCCCGAGGCTGGAACGTTTTCCTGGACAGTCATCGGTTCCAAGGCAGGTCCTACTGGCAACTGTATTTGTACAAGTCACACCGCAGCTGCCCGGTTCCTCTTTAATCATTCACGAGGACGGACTCCCTCTAAGCCTTTTCTTTATGCACCACTGCTCTTGCAAGAGGGCTTTGGCTTCTCGCTTTTTCCATTTTAGAGCTTTGGTTCACGGATGGCAAGAGTGAGATTGGGAGGCAAGGCAAAAGGAAGTACATGTTTCCCCTTCAGACCAGTTAAAAAAAAATAAAATAAAGCTGCTGCAAAGTAAATCTTCCTCAGGAAGATAGGACTCCTCCGAGTCTTTTAAATCAAATTGGGAGACGCGACATAAAGAAGTAGCCACCAAAATGAACAGCCGCAGAAACAGTGATGAAATTTACACACTGCCAACAAACTCATCTCTTCCCAGGAATCCAATAGTAGTTTCAAACTTCCATTTTCTGTCACCTATGTTATGAGATTGTCTGACATATTTTCTTTTTTTTTGCTGAACTGACCTTTCATCTATAATCTGCCAACCTTTATGTTTTATATGAAAAGTGTAAGCAGGGCAGCTGACAAACCTCCTGTTACTTGACAGCATTTTATTTTTCCCCAAACCAGATTAATTTGGAAGTTTCTGCAGTCACGCTCCGCATGTCTTGGTATTCAAATAGCATCAAACAAAAAGGTGCCTGCTTTTACCCGTTTTATTCAGACCTGCCTGAATTAATAACCAAGACCACATGGGAAAATTCTTTTTTTGAATGACCTAAGGGACTCAACCAACTAAACAGTTCCATCTTTTCCAAGACATGATACATGTCCTACTTGTGATATACAAAATTATTTTAGGTGGAATGGAGATGAACTTCTGGCAAAATGTCAAATGGTGTTTTTTTGTATGTTTTAAAAATACACATTTGAAAAGTATAATGTAACAGTGCAAATAATATATAGATTCATTTTTTTTTCTTTTTCATTTTTATACAGGGTGGGGCAAAAGTAAGTTTCAGTAGTTCATATGGAAAATAGCTCAATAATTAATAAATAATAATTCAAGAATGAACTGTATTTTTCGTACTCACAACTGTAGACCTAGTTTTGCCTCAACCTACAATACATATGATGCATGAGATGATTTAAAGAAAACTATTGAGCAAATAATTGTACAGATAATTCACAAATATGGCAAATAATAGCACGGCTAACTCACCGATATAATGAAGTAGCAAGTGATGCATAATATGTGGAAAACTAGTCCATTGAGTCAGGATAGAGCTATCGACCATGGTGAGGCCATAACCTCTTAGAAGCAGCAATTAAGTCTTATTCTAATCTGTATCTTGTATTGCATGTTATCTATTGGTATCACATAAATAGATGCTCACTTAAAACCTAAAGGATAATGAAAGCCAGCTGGGTCCTCACTGCTGCTCCATAGCCTTATTTGTCCTACATTCTTGCTGTGGCCTGTTACCTAAGCAGTCATCATAAAACTCTTCCAGGTTCTCTCTAGCTTCCTGACTCCTTTTGACTCCCCTTTTGTCATACAATGTGCCCTCTGACCTCAAGATAGGCTCTCTTCACTCCCTCCTGTCCTATCACTCTGTTTGCTTCATCTCATCTTTCTAATAATTGGCCTCTTAATCCCATTCCTCCCACTCCCAATGGCACTTTCCTTTTCCAGACAGCTCTCTGATTATATTGGGTTTTTCCCTCTATTCATTCCTCCTCCTTAGTGAGTTGATGTTTCCCCACCCCAAGAAAACAGAAAACAAGCAGCCCTTCACACACACACACACACACACACACACACACACACACACACACACACGCACACGTACCTCACCTATAGTCCTAAATCATTCCTAACTTTTCCTTCTTCTTTGAGATACTTCCTCATTTCACTTCTATAATTCTGAAAAGAGAATTCCAGAGACTAGCAACTGGTAGTAGGCCAAATTCAGCCCACAGGTGTATTATAGTTGACCCTTAACTGTTTTTTTTTTTAATTGAACTAATATTTAGAAATCTGAATATCTGGTTTTCTAGCTTATTTTGGAAAATTAAAAGATCAGGCAATGTCGACCTTCAATCTGCCACAGACCTCCCCCCTTTCTATTACTTCTCGCACTTGGCCCATTTATCATGTCTGCATTGCCTGATGGACGATTCTATTATCAGAACTAGCAACTTAGAGACAAAAGGTTATCAGAATTTACCCAACAAAATCTGGCTTCTGTTTCTATTCTCTTCCAAAAGCTTACTCTGTAATGTTGTTATTAACCTAATAGCCAAGCCAAGACTTTTTTTCTCCATTCTCACCTCTATTGATCCCACTGCAATGGCATTCCTGTCCCTCAAAGTATCAATTTCATTGAATACTAATGTCCCACTTTGGTTTCCTCCTCCTTCTCTGATGTTGCCCTTCCTCTCTCTTCTTCCTCAGCTCCCTTCGCATCTTGGCTGGCTCATTACTTTCTCCCTTTTCATCTTTACATCTATAGGTATTACTTAATATTTTCTGACTATATGTCCCCCATTTCTGTTCTTTGTGATTAAGTTTTTAAACCAGTACAATTAAACCAGGGAGGTGGCCTGGAGTGAAGAGTGGAGACTCCAGACTTTGCCATGTGTTGGCTGCATAACCCTGGATGGAGTCCTTATGTTCTCTTAACATGTGCTAGCAAACGTGGGTAATAACTGCATCCCCACATAGGTTGTTTTCAAGATATTATAAGAAGAAAGCTTCTAAAGCACATGCATGATATGGAGCATAAACAACCAGTACATGTTAATTATTTTTCACTCCATTTTTTTTTTAAAGTTTTGCTCTTTGCATATGACTTGTCTCCCCTTAGACTGTGAGGTCTTGGAAGGCATGAAGCGTGGCTTGTGGCTCTTTGTTTTACACAAGGTACCCAGTTCAATACTGTCCAAATGGCAGGCACACAGCTAGTATCTGCTGAGCAAGTGGAAGGAATGAACCTTTCCGAGAACTGCCAGGAGCTT